TTGGTCTTACTCAATTGTGTACTACTGAATCAACATTTTAAGAACAAGAAAATAAATCAGATTAAGGACAACCTTTATGTTCAATTAAACTACTTGGTTTAAAAACAAAGAAATAAGTCTTGTCAATGAGAACCATTTCTGAAGACCCTCTCCCATGGTAAGAAAAAAAATCTTACAATGAACTAGAATTCTAGATTTAGTAAGACTGATTTCATGAAAGATAAATAAATTATATTATTTTACAAGAGCCAAATGGAATAAATGTATTGTTAAATCCACTTGCTAAGGATTTAAGAAACTGAATGCTTATATAACTCCTGTATCTTAGATTTTTCTGGAGAAAGCTGGAATCTAATACAGCTACAAATAAGAAATACCATACAAAATTATGGAACATCACTCTATTTTATGGTGGAATTTATAATACATGGAAAAAAAGAAATGATTTGTTGGAGAGTTAGGAGATGAATACAGGAAAGTATTCACAGTTAAACCACAGATCTTTAACAAAATGCTTCAACTAGTTCTCTTTTGCTAAGATGAAATGAAAATAAAAAGCAGATGTAAAACTGCAGCCACATGATATTATTCACATTACAGCCCACAGCAGTAATATGCCATTCATTCTTCTGAATGCAACCACATACTTTGTTTTACAAAAGGAAATCAGATATGTAAAAGCCAAATGGTGCTTTCAAAATACTGCCATAAAGTTAAGAGCCAGGCCAGGGCATCTACATGAGAACATTATAATCAGCAAGCTCATAAGGAAAAGAAGGTTTCCTCTCTTCTCCTTTCATAAAAATCAATACTTTCTTAATCTATGAGTCACATTTTGGAGTCCCTCAAATGATTATGACTCAGGCACATTTATCATCCTAGTCTTAACGTGCCTACCAACTTGGCACCTTCATAGTTGCAATAGTCAGGTTAGTTAGAAAGTCTGCATGTTTCAACTGTTTGGGAAACAGTTTTTGGACCAAGTTTTTTTTAAATCCAAAGGAATCGTTTAAACATCATGCCTTCAAATAACTTTTTCTTTCTCTGTGCTCCCCCAACCAATACTTTCTCAGTTCCTGTGATGTGGTACTTTTTGTTTCATTACATGATCACTCCACAACTTGTTCTGTGTTTACATCCTATCCTCCAATACAAGCTGTTTTAAGGTCAGAGATGAAGCCACATACTAATCTGGATACTTAGCATCAACCACCACAGCATCTCTCATGAAATAGGCTGGCAGTCAAAGATGAACACATGAAAGATGAAAGATGAAAGATGGCCTGTGCAGGGGCTGGACAAGCAACATAAATGCATGAAGTAGGATGCAGGGCCTGTGATACACTATGAAGTGGTGGCTACTGGAGCCAACTACACGCTTTGCACTCCACATAAAGCAGCAGTTGCTACTTGGCTCAGCCCTGTAGTGAGCCAAACATGGATTCAGGCCCAATGTAGCCAGGTTTCCTAATTTTTCAGAAAAAAATAGAAATTCAGATTTTTATATGCAGTTACCCAATTGTTAAATGTTGGCTAGAAAAAAAAAAAAGGTGGTAAACCCTCTGTGGGTTAAAGGAAACCCACCTGTGAGCCCAATCTGCCATGCAGGCTGCCAGTTTTCCACCTCCTGATGTATAGTGACAGTCTTCTCCTAGGCCGCTGACCCTTCTGCCTCATCCACAAGTTCCTCTCAGCCCCCTGTCCCTCACTTACAGAAACAGACTTTCTTGATATTCCTCTTGGATATGCTTTCTCTCTCTTCCCTCTGAACCATCACAATACTTTGCTTATTGCTTTCTATTGTGCTAACCTATTTTTTCTTGTACCTCAATTATCTATGTATAGTCCGTGCCTCCCATAAGGAAATAAATTCCTTAAGTCATATTATTATTATTATTATTATTATTATTATTATATCATTGGTTGAATTCTGTGTCATACACTGCTAAGTACTTTACATAGATTAACTCATCTACCCTTTTAAAGAATAGTATTATTAGTATTATTATTATTATTACTATGAGGAAACTAGAGTGTGGAGTGTTTCCAATTAATTCCTAAGTCCTCAGAACTAGTAGGTAGAAGAGCCAGAACTTGAAAGCTTTTAACTCTACAGTTCTATATTTGCCTGACTTATCTTTAAGAGCCCTAAAATTCCTTGCACACAGTGAGCACTTAATTAATATTTGTTGAATTGATTGTTGAAAAGGAGAAATTTATATTTCACTTAAAAGACATTCTTTCTTAAGAAGCATGGAGAAAACTTACTAATGAGTTAATGGTTTGAGGAAGGGTTAAAAAATAAAAATAACGTGAATATTCACTATAAATATTTGTGGTTCAGCAATAGATTGGGGCCCATTCATCAACTGAATAGATATGCCAGGTTTATCCCAAGATACTTTTCAGTGTATTTATGCAAAAAGAATTCCAATCCAAAAATAATATCCGTAAAATAATTTTCCAAGTTAGCATTTCTGGCTTGAAAATTCAATGTGCAGTTCTGGTTTTAGTTAGAAATGAGAAAATGCCAAGAGGAAATTGAACAAAAGGCTCAAAAGATATTCTTTATTTTGCATGCAAGAAGCATTAATTATTTTTCAACAACTAGGATGTCATATCTCTGTTTCTGCATCCAGTGAGAGTCCCAAAATGCAGTTTTTTCTTTTCCCTCCAAATATATGATATCCCACATAAAAATATATAATCCTAGTACATAACAAATATGCAATGTACTGGTTTACTTTTTATTATTTTTTAAATAGTTTATCAGAGCCATAAATGTGAACTCTGAAAATATGATTTAGATGACGATGACAGAACCTGACCATAGCCATGCTTCACTTAAAGTCCTAATGGCTAAACAGATCTCTAAATTCTCAGTTTCTCTTTCAAGAATAACATTTGACAGCCATGAAAAAGACATTTTCCATCTTTAGAGCCATTATTTGGCTTTCAGATGTCAGCTACCCCTGAAATCTAACAAGAACAAAAAACAACTCAGCTGTAACAGGAAAACAACAAAGAATAACCCTGAACAATTTTATTCCCCCATCTTGGCCCGCCCCCTTTGAGAAACGGCATCCAGCAACATAAATAAACTACCAACGTAATTAGTGTCAATATCCAGGGGTACATGTGGGTGAAAACAGAGATTCCAATTCTCTGTTTTCCAAGAACTCTGATCCCAATCCAGAAATTAGTGGTTTCCACTACCACCACTATTGCTGTGTAAAGCACTCAGAAGCAGCTGTGTCTGGCCCTTAGACACACAACCTAAGGAAGCTAAGTTGGCTCCACAAAGGCTTGTCAATGACCAAACTTTTTTTAGAACATTTCAGCACTGTTCTCTTCCCCTGAGGTAGTTTCAACTGGCCCAAAGCCAAATCCCTAAACTTTGATTGAGAGCTTGGAGCAAAGATTCCCTAGAAAGCAAAAGTATTACCTATAGACTACTGATATTTAAATCTTTTTAAATAAAATCACATGCATCTAAGATTGTATGAAAAATGATTTGATAAGGTGTTTACAAAACTGATAAAAGGTTAGTAAAATAACAAAAGACCAGCCATTTTCTCTTCAGGTGATAACTACCACTCAACCCCAAACTAGATCCCATGAAGTACTTTAAAATAACAGGGAGAAAAAGAATTTTACTTTTCCAAAGCTGCTATTATTCTTCTGTTTTTCTACACCTTCTACTAGCCTTATAAAAGAATATTTGTGGGAACTATCAAAAGAGGAAACACATTCATTTCCAAACCCTCATAGGAGGACAGTCAGTGATCAACCTAATGAGCTTAACTGCTTGATGTTGAATTAAAGGAGACAGAAGAATGTGTCAGAATAAGGGACAAGTGGCTACCATTGCTAATAACTAGAACAAGAGGAATAAAAAGAAACATGGCTCTCAAAGGACTAATTAGTGCTCTAACCATTTTCTTCCTTATTCTGTCTCCTGACCATGATCAACATTCACATCATAGGTGTGCCAGAAGGAGAAGAGAAAGAGCAAAAAACTGGAAATCTATTTGAAAAAATAATGAAAGAAAAATTCCCTAATTTGATGAAGAAAATAGGCATGCAAGTCCTATGCATGCCTCTGTGCAAGGAAGCACAGAGATTTCCAATACAAAGAAGCCAACTCCAAGACACATCAGAATTAAAATGCCAAAGGTTAAAGATAAAGAATCTTAAAAACAGCAAGCAAAAGCAGTTAGTTATCTACAGGAGAGTTGCAAACTGTCCACTGATTTCTCAAAAGAAATTTTGTAGGCTAGAAGGGATTGGCAAGAATTATCAAAGTCATGAAAAGCAGGAACCTACAGCCAGGATTGCTCTACCCAGCAAAGCTATCATTTAGAATTGAAGGGTAGATAAAGAGCTTCCTAAACAAGAAAAAACTGAAGAAGTTCATCATCACCAAACCATTATTATATGAAATGTTAAAGGGATTTATTTAATAAAAAGGAGATCAAAACTATGGACAATAAAATGGCAATAAATACATATCTATCAACAATTGAATCTAAAAAACAAACTAAGAAAACAAGAACAGAGACAGAATCATGGATACAGAGTGGGTTTTAATGGTTGCCAGATAGGAGCTGAGTATGGGGGAATGGGTGAAGAGGTGAGGGGATTAAGAAATACAAATAGATAGTTACAGAACAGCCATGAGGACGTAAAGTACAGTATAGGAAATGGAGTAGCCAAAGAACTTATACAGAAGACCCATGGACATAAACAATGGTGTGAGGATTGCCTGACAGAATGGAGGGTACAGGATAGAGGGTAGAAATGGGAGGAAATTTAGGACAACTATACTAGAATAATCAATAGAATATAATTTTTTTTTAAGTACTGTCACTGCAGTTGTAGTCATGGAATAAAAAGCAATTGGGAAGAAACCTCTTTAGTTAACTGGCAGGTTATCCAATGTGAACTAGCTTTAGCACACATAAACCTGAGCTGTCCATGCACTCTTGAGTTTAATGTACCTGATCATTCTGGTTTTCAAGCCTTGGAGAAAAGCTGGACATTATTGGGGATGCTGCAGAGAGTTCTTGGAGTTTTCTATCGATTTCAGCAAGTTGCTGGTGCTGGGTGGCTTCAAGTGTGTATCCTTCACCTGTGACCAGCCAGCCAGACTGATCACCCTAGGAGGAAGCAACAGTCACCAGATCATTCCCATGCTACCTTTTTTCAAGAATATAACATACCTTTAGGACTGCTACATTGATGCTCAGGACTTCACGAAAACAAATTTTAAAAAGAAAAGAAAAGAAAGGCACAGACTTAACACTGGCATAGTCAAAGAAAAATATTAAATAGTGTATGGCTTCATTAATTATCTGTGCACTCTTCATAAAGTATCTTCATAAATTACACTTTGTGGGGGTTTTGCCCTGTGGAAAAAAAATCTCTTAGCCTTACAGTCTGGTTCTCACTGTACTGTCATTTCTCTACTTTGAAAAAGTGGTTGTGATATGTTAAACAGGGAGAAATCATGTTTACCCTATACTGGATGTGGTATTTTCAAAATTTTTCCCTGAAAAGTAACATAGGATCTATAAACTCAGTTCTTTGGATTTTATGAGCTTAACTGGTTACCTAACTCATTCAATTAACATTACAGTTTCATAATAGGTTGACACCCATTCATAACATTCATTAAAAAATCTCGTACTGAGTGTCTACTGTGTGTAGGCATTACAATGGATTATTCAATATGAATCTCACAGTCTGTGACCTCAAAGAGTTCTAAGTCTCTTGGCAGCAAAGATTTTAACAAGGTGTGAAGTTCACAGGTAAGCCCCGAACACCATGGGAACCAGAGAGGGCCAACTACCCTCTGTTAGTTGGACAGGAAGGGACAAAGTGGTTGGAGAAGGCTTCCTGGTAGAAATAATCAAGTTTAATCACATCTTAATAAAAGAAACAACATATTCTTTAAAACAGGAGCTGGTGAGGGCAAGACAGGAGGCAGGAAACCCAGTTAAGAAGAACTATAATCTATAACAAATATGGTGAGTGCCTGAACTAAGGAGTGCTTCCTGAGGCTGCAGAACATAAGACAGATGTCAGAGAAATTCAGGGAGTGAATTTACAGAACCTGGAGAGAATGTGATGGAAGAGTAAAGGGAGGAGGGAGGATCAAGGATAAAAACTAAGTAGGGGGAGAATCAAGATGGCAGAGAAGTGAGTGGAAGTCACGCTGACCTCCTCCCAGGACCAACCTGGAATTACAACTAAATTGTAGAGAAATCACCTGGAACAAACAACTGAACAATAGCGAGAAAGAAGCCTTGTAACCTTGGAGACAGAAGAATCGGCTTTAGCGCAATCTAACGGATAAGGAGTGCAGTAAAAACTCGAAAAGGGCAGGCGGGGCGCCCACGGGCGGCAGCACCATGGCACCAGAAGGATATTGAAACGGCCAATTGGATCCCTCTGAGAAGAGTGGGGTCTAAACCATAATCAAGGATCTCCAACCTACAGCACCAGAGCCCACAAAGTACACAGAAAACAGCCAGCTGCGAAAGGCGGCAGGGTTTCTCTCTGCCAGAGACAGGCGACTGGAGACGCAAAGAACTGTTTAAAGGGCCAGTGCAACATTTATATTTGCAGCCACTTACCCTGGTCTCCGGCAAAGGCAGGGGAGAGTGGGATAGAGACCCCTGAGGAGAGACTGGGGAAGGAGGCTTTGGGGAGATAACTGAGAGAGAAGCCGGCAGAATCTCTGTGCTGACTCATCCCCCCATGCAGCAGCCATCTTGCTCAGAGGGCAAGAGTTCTGGGGGATTCAAATAAAATTATCATTTTAGTCATCCTCTTTAAATTGCACCGGTATTTATCAGAGATGAAGTGGGGGGGCACTCCATAATGAAAAGGCCCCCCAAACTTTGAGAGAATACAGCAAATTTAAAGGATGGCAGGAAGTTTGGTACAGTTTGAGGATACAATAGATAGGTCCCCTCCTCAAAGTGTTCCTAAATTCATCCTGCTGCACTTCACAGATTCTCCTCTGAATCTCTGTTTCAGCATGTGCCACCATCTATCTGGCTTTATAGTATCAGTATCAAATGGCTATATCCCATGCCAGAGAATAGGACAGAACCCTCTTTCTCCTCAGAGGAGGTGCAGGAAAACACTCTCAGCAAATAGTTTTAAAAACAATAATAACTATAAAACAGCAACAATCACAAAAAATGGCTAAATAACTAAATAGAATAATAGACATGGTTGAAACCCAACTTGGAAAACTGTACAATGACCTCCTATGAGCAAAACAACCAAAAAAATAAAATAAAATAAAATAAAATAAAATAAAATAAAATAAAATAAAATAAAATAAAATAAAATAAAATAAAGATTATGAGGAAAATGTTATAAGACCTGGAGGAGAGATCCAGAAGTTTCTATACCCATTTGTGACAGACATTTATACACTGACTGACTTGATCCCTTTTCCCACTTTTATTCTTCCTTGTCTTCCTCTGCTATAAAAATGAGAAAGTGAAATAACTGAATCCTCAGTCTCACTCGCAGTTACATGGGAAATGAATGGCTATGTGACAAAGCTTGGTCAATGACAAGCAGGTAGAAGTCCTAGGGACATCATACCTTCCCAAATGAAAAGGCAAAGCCTCAGAGGAGTGTCTCTTTGTCCCTTAACCCTCCCTCTTTCTTTCTATCTGGAAATGGACACATTACCTACAGATGCTGCAGCAATCTTACAAAACTAAAAACAAAAACACACTAAGAATGTGGATCAGAAAGAAAGGTGCTAGCTGCTCACACCTGGACTTCTTGTAACTGAAGAAAAATAGTCTTTACTCATTTAAGCAACTGCTTATAAAGTGTTCTGTTACTTTCAGCCAATCACATTTCCAATTAGTATCTCATTTTATAGATAGTCAAAAAGGAAAGAAAAGATGGAAGAAATAAGTAAAGGTAATTTTCCAAATTAAAGACAGACTTGAGACTTCAGATGAAAAGGGTCTGCATGGTACCATGCATGAACCAAAATGATTTTAAAGACACATATAAGATGTTCTGAAAGAATTTGTGAACTCAAAAATAAAGAGAAAATCCTATATGGATCGGGAATAAAAGGAGTTTGTACCTAGAATTCAATTACCACCATTTGAGGCTCCCATTGTAGCTATCATTCAAATGAGAGAAAAATAAATTGTTATATATGAAAACAGTCAAAAATTATCTACACACTATTATTTCTTAGGAGAAATTTTTTAATCCATACGAATAACTCAAGAAAAATTTTTTGTACAAATAAATAATTAGTTGAGCCTAAGTACATATTTAATTCTGTGGCTAAAAAATTTGGCTACTGTTGAGAAAGACTCAACATACAAGAAGCATACTGTTTTTAAAGGAAAAATTTATAATATTTTGGAACTAAGATTCCAGGTGATTTCAATACATTCTAGAGGAGAAGTGGGAGAAAAAGGAAGTAAAAGTATATCAAAAATCTTGTTTTGTTAAGAAGTAAGATTTTAGGGAGTAATTAATTAAGTTAAACAGAAAATACACATTTCAATATATTTTAAGAACTTGGGAGTTAACAGCACTCGATCAGAAATAAGATACCAAATTTTCAGAGGATCAGGGGTAAAGGGGGTAAAGTTAAGAAAACAAAAAATATATATAATAAGTGGAATATGATGTAGGACATCAGGAAAAAGTCCAAAAATTATCATTGTTCAAGGGGTGGTTCCATGGTATAACAGTGAACACACTGGACTCTCTCAAAAATTATCATTGATCATAAATGTATGAAAAAATTAAACATCCTCATTAAAATATAAAGAGTATGGAATAAAGAAATAATAACAAAAAATACAGAAAAAATTAAATATAAAGGCACAAAAGCAACAATAAAAATCCAGCTATGTAGTATTTGTAAAAGATCTAAGACCAAATGATAAAGTTTAAAATAAAGAAAGTGATAAGACATTAAGGACTAACAAAAATAATATGTAAAAGGTAATATTAATAACAAAAATGCCTTCTTAAAGCCCTCCTAGAATGTGTAAGGGACATCTACGGTGCCATATTTTGGTGCCCAGAGGATCAGTGAGGCAGCAGCTTGCCCAACTTCATGATTAATAACAAAGCCAGGAATAAGGCCCAGTTAATTCTTACTGTTACCTTAACTTTGGTCAATAAGATCAACAAATCACCCCCATGAATTCTAAAGCTAAAATATCTCAGAATTATGTGGGCATTTAGCAATATCTTACCCATACCAGGCCTCTGCTTCATAAAACACATGGGATGCTAAGAGGTGTGGCTGTCCTCTGGCCTGGCAGGGGACCTCCCTGGGCAACGTCGCCAGCCACGGATGTAGCAATACCGTACTGCATTCCTTGACACAGCCCCCACTGCCCCATGAGCCTTCACCATTTTGGAAAAGATTGTTTAGAGCTTGGAGTCTGTTCTGTGTTGTGGATTTGCTTTTGGTTTGGGGTAGAAACAGTGTTTGCCCACCCAGAATTATTTTTAGTGGATTTAGTTGTCAACATTTTAAAAAGAGGAATGTTTCCCTTAAAAAATCTGAATTTCCAGCGTCTCGATATATTGGAGGACCCAGGTAGCCCTGGCAGGGATTTCTACACAGCAGCAACCAGGTGATGCTGCGTGTTGGCTCCCTTGGCCTGGCATGCCGTTGCCCAGTGGTCACAGCTATTGCTGCACACACTGCTTTTGTACATGGAGCAAAATCACCCTCAGAACCTACATGTCTTCAGCTGGGTTCCCTAGATACAGAACCCAAGACAGGGATTCCTGTTCAAGTGCCTTATGGCAGGAAGGGGATGCAAGCTAGAGAAGTCCGCCAGCAAGGATGTGGCCTCAGCTGAAGACCAGCTGACCCCTGGGGAAGCTCTGGAGAACAAACTGCACCACAGAGCTAATCTCATCTTGAGTGAGAAAGTAGGGTTGGGGAGGGGATGCTGTAATGGGTTGTTCAGCTTCCATTGAGCCCAGGACAATTCTCCAGGAAAAGAGGCAGCTGTGCACCCTTGGAACAGGGCAGGGAGGTGGATGCACAGACAGGTGCCAGGTTAAAGGGATCTGGGCAGAGCGCCAATAGCATCCACTATATCATGTCTCTATTAAACGTAGGGGAATAAAA